GCCAACTTGCTACAATCGTTGTTCAAAAATCAAAACAAAGATTTAATACTCTTTCCTTACAACTTCAAGTGAGTGTTACTGTCGTGTGCATATTCGGTTTCCCTTATTACTCGAGCGAGGTTATAGTAATGTAATTGATGAGTTATGCATGCGTGCGCAGCTTCCACTATGTTCTTCTGGAGATTAAGCTTGAGCGGGGACTAGTAACCATCTTAGACTCGAGACGAAAAGATCCCGAAACCTATGCGGACATGACTAAATTGCTCAACAAGTAAGTTCAATCGATCATTATCGCACCATATCGGCAACTTTTTGTTCATTTTCAGATATCTCAAGTAATAATAATTATTTTCTTTGTCTTGCAGGGTTTGAAAACAGTCCCGCAGAAGCTCCGGGACTGCCGAAGGAGCTGCGATATACATACCCGAAAGTAAGTACTACTAGCTAGCTAGTTGCGCGCATCTCCCGTTGATTCTATAGCTATACTTTCATCAATGCCATTTATAATGCTTTATTATCAGTTTGATTGACCTCTATTTCTCGTAAAGTGCTTGTGGCAGGAAGAAGGGAATAATTTATGTGGATATTACGTGTGCGAGTTCATCTACAACGCGACTTTGAAAAATAAGCGGGACTACTCTAAAAGACAATATGAAGTGCGTAAGCAATAATATTCACAATTTCATTTTATTACACCATCATTTCTGTTGAGTTTCATTTATATATGTATTAACCCCCTTATTCAAATTAGACGTGGCAGATGCGGAATGAACTCCTAGAACAAGATCGCATGAAAGCAATTCAAAAGGAATTGGCGGGATTCTTTCTTGACCACGTCATCAATAAAGCCGGAGAATACCATGTGGAAGTTGATTTCAAATGCTAGGGGATTGTAAAAGATCTTACATATTGTATATGTATGTAGCCAGCAGAGTCGGATAGATAATACGAAAACTTGTTGTTCGTCCAATCTCTCAGAGAAGGAGAGGTCGATCGATCACTTCTCTCGGTATGCATGACGAACTTCTGTACTTAATGGTTCCCTTCATTTTCTTACTAGCTAGCGTGTCGAGGGCCTCTCTATGTACAGTACGTAGCGTCGACCAAGCACAGACATAAGAGATGACACTTTTCTCTATTAATTAGCTAGCTAACACAATATATGAAACACCTAAATTAACCCCCCAAACCCCACACCCCCCCCTTCAGAAAAAAAACCCAGCCACTGAAATGCTGACGCGTGGATGCCTTTTGGTCCCGGTTGGTGCCACCAACCGGGACCAAAGGCCCTCCTGCATGGGCTCGGCGCACCGGCCACGTGGAGGCCCATCTGTCCCGGTTCGTGTTAGAACCGGGACTAAAGGTATAGGGCATTAGTAACGACCCTTTAGTCCCGGTTCAAGAACCGGGACAAAAGGCCCTCACCAACCGGGACTAATAGAGGTTTTTCTACTAGTGTGATTAAAGGACTGTTTGGATTGTGACTATGTTTTCCTAAACTATAAACCCTAAATCGAGTCCTCCTTGAGAGTATGTCCTAATTATAGTTAATCATAAACACTGAACTGACTTAGAAAAGTTTACCTCACAACTAAAGGAGGACAAAAGAAAGTAGCCTATAATATATACTCTCTCTATAACGAAATATAAGTTATGTTTTAGGCATAGTTGGCTAAAAAAATGACCCAATTTTGTTGCAGAGGGAGTAGTATTTTTATTGTGATCTTAGCCCTAAAGGATGTGTATAACTGATGCCTAACTACTTCATCCAAAAGTTTAAGCTCATGGAGAAATGTAGACAGTGCATTCATAATTCATCACCTGTATTTAGAAAATTCTAGGTTGGCGTCCTAAACATGTATTGGGAGCCCGTTTTTGGTGATGTGAACAACAAGGTGTTGGAGAGGCACAAATGTGTGAAGCTAGCTACACCAAATATATTTCTTAAAGCACATAATAGGACATGAGGATTGGAGGTCTCATGCCATATTGCATCTTACAGGAAATTTTAAAAACTAGAATCTCTAATAGAAATTATTTAGTTGCGTCACACGAGAAAAGAAAAACAAATCCATAGAGAGTTACTACAAAAGCATACTCCCTCCCTACTCTATTATCAAAAACGATCTAACATTATGGGAAGGAGGGAGTAGTATTTCAAGCAATCAAACTAGAGTACCGCACTACTGAATACAAAAATTGTGAAACTTCATATTAAAGAAATCATGATGGACGACTTGCTATTGAACGTTGCCTCGCATAGAAAGAGAATTTTGTTTTTTAGTTTGACAAACCAAATATTTAGATCTATGTAAAAAGATAAAAACAAGTAGAATCCTTCAAAATTTGTATACAAAATTCCCAAAAATTATGTTTTTGTAGTTTTTTTTTTAACCAGATAGGCTACAATAAAAACCAATGTTTGTAAACATTATGGTATATTTTAGTTTTCAGGACAGTGGAGCAATCATGTTTTTTTAGAGTTAGTAAGAGTGTCATGTTTTTTTTTAGAATTAAGAGCATCTCTATCCAGATTCTCAGATTGGCGTCTCTCTGTGGAGTTAAAACCAAACAAAGCCTCAAACCTAGTTCTTCTAAAAAAATATAAGGAATTGATTCTCAAAAGGTTCCCTTTTCATAAAAAATGAGAGAGCCATACAACCTCTCCTCAAATCCCAAGGTAGCCCTTCCTATTGGAAAAATGAAAAGAACTGCCGACGCGGTGGCTGATTGACCTTTCGCCGCTATAAATAGTACCGACGCCTCACCCAAAACCTATCACTTCCCTCCCCCGACGCCCATTTTCCCAATATTAACCACCCGAAATCACCAAGGCCTTCCCCATTTGCTACCATTATCACCCGACAGTACTGCCGACGTTGATTCACCGTCTTCTTTGCCCGAATCTCATCCATCACAATGGTGAGGCTGCTCCACACACTGCTATCTCTAGTCATGCCA